ACATACTACAAAAATATGTCATCACTGCAGCTCTCTATACCGATACCAGTACTGTAAATAACTTAAAAATATTTCCACTTGAAAAAGGTGGGATACCAATGCAAAATAATGCAAAATAATTACATTACATTTTTTGAATGACAAAAAAAAAAACATATGCAATGTTGACGTGGCTGATATAACAGCATTCATGACTGTGAATGACTGCATGTAGTTGACATAACTGCAGGGCTCATATGATGATCCCCGTCCTCTAGACATGCAAGCCATTGCATCTTCATTTTCAGCATATATGACCTTTGTTTCTTTCTTGCAGTGGGTGGTTGATGTGGGGTCGACCCTGAGGTCAAACAGTGGTGACCCGGCGGACTGTCTTTGCTCCCTTGCAGTACAGGTTAGAAAAATCTTCCTCTTTCTGATTTTGAGTGCTGAAAATTACAATATCAGGAACCTGTTGAGAACAATAGAACAATATACTTTTACAATGTATTTTTAAATGCTTGGTTTTCACTGGAATATCAATTAGTGCATTCCCTTTTGAGGATTTTTTTTTTTTTTTTTTATCTTATTCAACCTAAATTTTGCATCTATTGAAATTTTATCACCCTGGGATGGTGATTTCCCCAGTGTCTATGATGGTTATGGCCCTGGTAGTTTATGCATGAGGTGAGAAAATATGATTTCTTGAAAGTTCAACAGTTTAAAATGAAATACTTAAAATGAAAAGGTTGTTTCCTGAAGATGACCCAGCATACAATTAGCATTAATGCGAAAAATTTGCATTATGAATTATTTAAACACAATATATGATTATTTGTAATCTCAGCATGATTACAGAAAGTAAACGACATTTTCAAAAATAAAAAGGATTACATCAAAGTATCATTGTGCATCATTTACATAATGTTTATTTGTTTGACTGAATATTGTTTCACACAGTAATCAAGAGATCAGCATTTTCCCCAGGTGTGAGGCAGATGACTTTAGACTTTAGACAGAAATCCCACCACTAGTTTTGAATAATGCAAAGGCTGTAAATCTCTCTCCTCTTACCTGTGGAGGGCTGATGATGTTTATCGTGCTGTCAGCTCTATTCCTGAGGTCATGGTGTCCTGAACCTGCGGGGTAAAGATCAGTTGTGTGTGACTTCACGCTTCCTAAAATCCTACAAATATAACTAACACTGCACAATGTGTTCTTCCTGTTGTACTAAAATACAAAAATCATATTTAGTATGCTTGCCTAGTTTCCCATCAGAAATAAAGCAACAAATTTACTTAAGACTATAAGCCTTTTATCTTATTTTATGATCACTTATAAGAAATCTTTTAAGAAAAATAAATATCTTTCACCTATTTCTGTAACACAGGAGACACAAAACAGAAGCAAAAAGCAAAATTTCATTTTGAAAATCGCAAATAAAACAGATTATTGGAGTATGTTCTACTAAAAAATACGATTTTAGGCTTTCTATTTTAAAAAGTCACATTTAATTCTAATTTAATAGCTATTTGTCTAAGAACATTTGTTTTTACGCCCAAAAACGCTGCAAAAAGCCAGCCTTGTGGCAAAATCTTTTTTTACAAATACTTAACTTTTTTGTTGGTAATGTATATTTGATATCCCAAAAACTTTCGAACATTCTCTCACGTTGTGTATGGGAAATCTCCTGTTTACACTGGTACTGAAGCCTGATTTGTTCACGTTTGTGTAGCTGCACAAACCAATGGCGCTCTAGCCCGCCAGAATGGGTGGAGCCGACCTTTGTATAAGTCAGCTCGGAGCACCATTTCATCAGAATATTCTCCTCCAGCGACAAAGATCATCTCTTCACTGACGCTGGACTACGAAGCCGAAGAAGAAGGAAGAAGCTCAGCCTGCAGCTCGCCGCCGTCGAAGAGCCCCGACAGAGGAAGAAACCAGAGCCTTCCTCTGTGGCTATTCGGTGCACTAAAAGAGCAAATTTCTGAGCAAATGTCCTAGCGACGTTGATTCAAATGTGGTGCCGCACGTGTGGCTCGTGCAGGGAATCCCTGCACAATGCAGAAGGGCGCAGTGAGTGCGTCACCTGTCTAGGCAGCACCCACGCAGAGACTGCATGCTCACTGAAACTCTCACTGCTCTTCTCCGCTCACTGACCACCTTCTTCAATGAAGGCAGCCCCGCTCTTGGCACGTGTGGCTCGTGCAGGGAAGCCCTGCACAATGTAGAAGGGCGCAGTGAGTGCGTCACCTGTCTAGGCAGCACCCACGCAGAGACTGCATGCTCACTGAAACTCTCACTGCTCTTCTCCGCTCACTGACCACCTTCTTCAATGAAGGCAGCCCCGCTCTTGTTTCTCCTCTCTCAGCGAGCTTGGAGAAAGAAACGGTGAGTCGCGGAGCTGAGCAACTGGGTTGTATGATCTCACTCCGGCATAGAGCCCCCGTATTCACTCTCCCCCACCACTTTGATCCTCCGGTGTGTTTTACATGTAAGGATCAGCGCCTCTCATTACATTGAGCGGCTCAATCCTTCTAGGCGGATTGGAGTAGAATGCTGTCACCAATGATTCTTTATTGCTGACAGCTTCATATTTGTGTGTGCACCACTGAGGCTGCGCTCGCTGAGACAGGCTGCTTTCACTGCGAAAGCATGAGTCTGTCCCCGCTTCACTCGCGGGTCGCTTTCTTCAAAGAATTTCTCTCAGCTGCCTCGGAGGAAGAAACGGCAAACTCACGGGTTGAGCGATCAGGATTAAGTGATTCACGCCGGCACAGTTTCCGTGTGCTTCACTCTCCACACAGCTCTTTGATCTGCTAATGTGTTTTACAAGTAAATATCAGCGTCCCCTCATATGCTTCGAGCAGTTCGATCTTTTTAGATGGATCAAAGGAGAATGCTGTCACCTATGATTCTATATCGCTGACAGCTTCAGTTTTTGAGTGTGCCGCTTGCCTGGGCCATGCCCACACTGGGGCTGCGCTTACTGAGACAGATCGCTGTCACGATGAGAGCGTGTATCTCGCTCTGCTTCACTCGCGGTTCGCCTTTTTCAATGAAGGTGGCCCCGCTGCTCCCGCGCTCACTTTCTCCCCTCCCAGTTGCCTCGGAGAATGAAACTGTGAAGTCGCGGGGCTGAGAAATAGGGCTGGAGTGATTTCACAGCAGCATAGGTCCTGCATGCTTCACTCTTCCTGCAACACACTGATCCGCCAGTGTGTTTTACACATGAGGATTAGCGCCCCTCATCTGCATCGAGCGGTTTTATCCTTTTAAGCGGATCTAAAGATGCGCGCAGCATAGACTGGACCACACACATGCCAAGGCTGCGCTCACGGGGGCTAACTGCTCTCACTGAAAGAGCATTGACCTAGCGAAGCACTTTTGAGAGGAAAAGGAAGGATCAGTTCTCGCTGAGGCTGGAACTCCCTCTAAGAAAGCTCGCGCTCGCTCTCCATCCCTTCGTTCAACACTGAGTGATGGAAGTTTTATTCAAGCTGGGCACATCCTTTAAGTTCAGTGCATGCCCAATCAAACTACCGCTGATAGCGGATACATACAAAAGAGCAATTCTCCTCTCCTCACTCTCACGAATGCAAGTTCCCCACCCTTGTACGGCGAACTTCCATTCGTAAAATTAGAACCTCTTGCCACCGGGTTCAAGGCTTGGGCAGCCATTCCCGGTGGTTCAAGTTGGGTTCTAAATATGATAAAACGAGGTTACTCGCTCCAGTTCACTTGCAGGCCACCTCGTTTCAGAGGTATTATTCACACTTCGGTACGAGACAAAGAAGCTCATGTTCTTCGGTCCAAAGTACAAATATTGCTTGCAAAAGGTGCCGTGGAAACGGTACCTGTAGTGAACAGCGAGTCAGGCTTTTCAGCCGCTGCTTCCTCATGCCGTAGAAGGATGGCGGGCTCAGACCTATTCTAGATCTCAGACTTCTGAATTGCTCGCTTATCAGATGGCCATTCAGGATGTTAACTTTGAAACAGATCCTCGCGCAGGTTTGTCCCGGGGACTGGTTTCTGAAAGTGGATCTGAAAGATGCATACTTTCACATCCACATAACCCCCCACCACAGATCGTTCTTGAGATTCACGTTTGAGGGAGTGGCCTATCAGTACACAGTCCTATTTGAAATGTCTCTGGCCCCTCGCACTTTTACGAAGTGCATCGACGTGGTTCTTTCTCCTCTGAGACAAATGGGAATCCACATCCTCAATTACCTGACTGGTTTTAGCCAGAACAGAACGGGAACTAATCGCACACAGATCACTTCTGCTCAGCCATCTGGAGCGCCATGGGTTGAAAATCAACCCACACAAGACTCTTTTGTCTCCCAGAGAGCGAGCGGTCTTTCTGGGGAATGTGATAGACTCTGCCCATATGGCTTGGCTTACGCCAGAACGGTCCATGGCTATTCAGCGACTGATTCCTCTAGGTCTGCTTCATATGCGGCCTCTTCAATTATGGCTCAAAGCCCATGTGCCGTCCCATGCCTGGCGCCTGGGCCGGTTTTACGTCAGGGTGACCCATCGCTGTATCAAAGCTGTGGCCTCTTGGACAACTTCTCGCCTGTTCCAACCAGGCGTGCAGTTGGGACTGACTTCCAAGAGGAATGTAGTCATGACGGACACCTCCAACACTGGTTGGGGCGCTCTGTTAGAGGGCTATCTGGTGTTCGGCTCCTGGACGATCCACGAGTGGCGCCTCCATATCAACTGCCTCGAGATAATGGCGGTTTTTCTGGCCCTGAAAACCTTAAGGGGGCACCACGTCCTGGTCAGATCGGACAACATGACGGTGGTACCCTATTTCAGCCAACAAGGTGGTCTCAGGTCACGTTCCCTTTACTGGATGGCTCGACGCCTCCTACTTTGGGCACAGAGCAAACTCCTCTCAATCAGAGCGGTTCATGTGCCGGGCAGTCTGAACCTTGGCGCAGACATACTGTACAGAGGCAATGTAGCTCCGGGAGAATGGACACTACATCCTCAGACAGTTCAGGAAATCTGGTCTGTCTTCGGGAGGGCAGAGGTCGACCTCTTCGCCTCAGAAGACAACTCTCACTGCCTGACTTATTTCTCCATGCAGCGAGACGCGCTGGCCCATGATTGGCCCAGCTCTTACCTGTACGCCTTCCCCCCGGATCAGGGAAGTCGGGTCAGGGAAGTCGGTTGCTCAGTCCTCCTGGTGGCCCCACTTTGGAAGAATCAAACTTGGTTCCCCTAGTTAGTGCAGCTGTCAGCAGATGCCCCGTGGCCGATACCATTACGGATGGACCTTCTCTGGCAGGTGAAGGGCATGATTTGGCACCCCAGGCCGGAGCTGTGGAGCCTTCATGTCTGGAGCCTCGACGGGAGTCTAAACAACTTTCAGCGAGATTGAGCGACACCATATTACAGGCTAGAGCACCGTCTACGAGACGCCTTAACGCCCTTAAATGGTCAGTTTTCTGTGACTGGTGTGCAGCACGAAGCCTGGACCCGGTTTCTTGTAACCTGTCCCACGTGCTGACTTTTTTCTCAAGAGTTGCTGGACAAAGGGCACGCACCTTCCAAGCTCAAAGTTTATGTGCCAGCTATCGCAGCGAATCATTCCCTGGAAGCTGGCCAGTCAATCGGCAGAATTGACTTGGTCGTTAAGTTCTTGAAGGGCACCCAGAGATTTAATCCTCCTCAGACCGTGCCGACCTGGGACTTGTCCGTGACCTTGCCCTACGGGGCCCTTCCCTTTGAACCACGCGGATTTTGTCTATTTAGTCTGCCTATTTCTCCCCAAGGGTGGAAATGGTTATATCTGCAGTCCTCAGCTCTGCTTGGGACTCAGTTTGGCTCATGTTCTTTAGGGGTCCTTAACCTAGTGCTCCGAGACTGGACTCGCTCCATTCGGCCGACCTGTGGCCCATGTCTCTTAAGACCATCATCCCTATGACATTAGCGTCGGTCAAGCGAGTGGGTGACTTGCAGGAACTGTCAATCAGTGCTTCCTGTCTTGAATTTGGGCTTAATGACTGTAAGGTCGTCCTCAAGCCAAGACAAGGTTATGTACCTAAAGAGTTCTCAACTCTGTTTTGGAGCCCAGGTTATTAACCTTCTAGTACTTCCCGCTGCAGACAGTGAGCAGGGTCCC